ACAACAACCACCCTCCTCAGGCCTCCTCTTCGGCCTCCTCGCCGAAATCCTCCTCCTCCTCGGCCGTGGCGTCCTGGTACTGCTGGTACTCGGAGACCAGGTCGTTCATGTTGCTCTCGGCCTCGGTGAACTCCATCTCGTCCATGCCCTCGCCCGTGTACCAGTGCAGGAAGGCCTTGCGGCGGAACATGGCCGTGAACTGCTCCGAGATGCGCTTGAAGAGCTCCTGGATGGCGGTGGAGTTGCCGATGAAGGTGACGGCCATCTTGAGGCCGCGGGGGGGGATGTCGCACACGGCCGTCTTGACGTTGTTGGGGATCCACTCCACGAAGTAGGAGCTGTTCTTGTTCTGCACGTTGAGCATCTGCTCGTCCACCTCCTTCATGGACATGCGGCCCCGGAAGACGGCGGCCACCGTCAGGTAGCGGCCGTGCCGCGGGTCGCAGGCCGCCATCATGTTCTTGGCGTCGAAGACCTGCTGGGTGAGCTCGGGCACGGTGAGGGCGCGGTACTGCTGGCTGCCCCGCGACGTCAGCGGGGCGAAGCCCGGCATGAAGAAGTGCAGGCGGGGGAAGGGCACCATGTTCACCGCCAGCTTGCGCAGGTCGGCGTTGAGCTGCCCGGGGAAGCGCAGGCAGGTGGTGACGCCGCTCATGGTGGCCGACACCAGGTGGTTGAGGTCGCCGTAGGTGGGCGTGGTCAGCTTGAGGGTGCGGAAGCAGATGTCGTAGAGCGCCTCGTTGTCGATGCAGTACGTCTCGTCCGTGTTCTCCACCAGCTGGTGCACCGACAGCGTGGCGTTGTAGGGCTCCACCACCGTGTCCGACACCTTGGGCGACGGCACCACCGAGAAGGTGTTCATGATGCGGTCGGGGTACTCCTCGCGGATCTTGGAGATCAGCAGGGTGCCCATGCCCGAGCCGGTGCCGCCGCCCAGCGAGTGGGTCAGCTGGAAGCCCTGCAGGCAGTCGCAGCTCTCGGCCTCCTTGCGCACCACGTCCAGCACCGAGTCCACCAGCTCGGCCCCCTCCGTGTAGTGGCCCTTGGCCCAGTTGTTGCCGGCGCCGCTTTGGCCTGGGGAGGGGGAGGGGAAGAGGGAAAAGGTTGAGTTGGGGGATTTGAAGCGCCTTGAAAGCGTCTTTGGGGACCTTCAGAGCAACCTCAAGGGCCTTCAGACCAACTTTAGGGACCTTCAGAGCAACTTTGGGGACCTTCAGACCAACTTTAGGGACCCTGAGCCCACATTTGGGCACCTTCAGACCAACCCTGGGGACCTTCAGACCAACTTTGGGGACCTTCAAACCAACTTTGAGGACCCTGAACCCACCTTTGGGGACCTTCAGACCAACC